TGGCTGTGGCATCCCAGTGGCACTCAGAGGGATGTATGAGGGTGAGGCTGATGAGGTGTGAGGGTCTGGGGAGGCCTGGCCTGGGCATGGCAGCACGGCTGGGTAGCAGGGGTCTCGCTGTGCTGCTGTTGAAACTGCCTGCAGCCTGGCATCTGCTGCCCACGGTTGTGGGGGCTGAACCAGTGCATAAGGACCTTGCACCGCACTCCCAGGGATGTTAGCAAGGCACGCAGGGTTGTGATGCAGAAGGACGCGGCCTGGAGAGGCATTGAGAGCCCCTTGGCAGCACCGTTCCGCATCAGGGAACGGCAGCGCCAGCAGTGTCTGTCAGGCCGCCCAAGGGGGCCAATTGCACCCATGTCGAGGCCTCCCAGGCCAGTTTTGAGTGCAGAATCGTGATCCCCGTCCCCTAAAACCGCAGGGGGAGGCAGGAGAGGCCCCAAAAGCCCTTTTAACAAACTGGCATGCGGGTCAAATGGTGCGGGTCAAATGGAGGGGGTATTTGTACCGCAAACGATACCCCCTTTTTGCCTCATCGGGTAATCGAATCTTACCCCTATTTTGACCAACTTCATTACTGGCCCCTGGGGGTAATTTGAAGTGCAGAGTCGGATTCAACAGGGTCGACCCCCCCCAGAGCCCATCAAAGAGGGCGTTCCCAGATCACCACCAAAATGTGAGTCATGTGACGTCATGCGGGTATGCTCACCACCCATGACCTCGCCTCCTGCCATGCCCCATCCATGCCTCTCTAGACCCTCCCACCTGACCTGCCCCACTATTACACATCCCTTGAAGTGCCAGTGGCAGCTCAGGGCCATCCTACACCCCAGCATGGCACAGCAGCAGCTTCTGCGGTGGCGTCATGGCGGCGGCGGCGGCGCAGCGAGACCCCCTGCTGCCAGCCCTGCTGTCATGCTCGCTCCATGCCTTTCCAGACCCTCCCACCTGCCGTGCCACACCATTACACATCCCTCGGAGTGCCAGAGCAGCGGTGGAGCCAGGCTGCACCCCAACATGCCACAACTGCAGCTCCTCCAACGGGCAGCGTGGCAGCGGCGGCGGCACTGCGGGACCCCCTGCCACCAGCCATGCTGTCATGCTCAGGCCACCTCCCATCTGCATGTTACCCACCAACTCAGCATCCCAGGCTGTCATATACATCACTACCGAGCCACAGACCAGATGGCACCAGCACAGCAGCTCACACCAGGGCTGGGCAGCAGCCGTGCCGCTTTGAGTGGCAAGAAGGCCCGAAAAGGGCAGATGGGAATGAATCAGCGGCACATGTCAGCCGTCTAGCGTCTGCAGCTCTTCCAGTGCCGCTATAGTGGCACTGGGAACCGCAATGCTGCCTTGCTTTGCAAACTCCAGCAGCTGCTGCTTTGTATGTTTTGGCATCGCCTTAGCCGCGTCGCCCAGCACGTCGGCCGGCAAGCTGACTAGGGCAGGAAAGGAATCCGGAACGGTCTGTTGTGCGCACATTAGCCATCCCTTCCACTGCGTGCCGTCCTTCCATATCTGTTTTGTCGCCAACTGCACACAGCAGAGGTTGAGCCGATGCATCAAGGGTAAGT